TCACGCAGACAGCCACACCGGAGTGGCCGCAATCCACCCCTGTTACCGCAGCCACGGCGCGACCAGCACGGCAGCTCCTGGGCCCCGTGCCCACCTCCAGCCCCACCAACACCCCTTCTCCCTCCCAGCCAGCGTGGGCAGAGCCCACTCATGTCCAGCTAAATGCAGCATCCCACAGGAGGGTGGCACCCACGGTGCCCAGCTGGTGGGAGCAGCACAAGTAGCACCGAGACCCTGGGGATGGCAGGGTCTGCGAGCCCAGGCTGGGTGGAGTGGAGCAGCAAGCTAAAGAGCCAAGACAGCTGCTGGCAATGTAGGGCCTGCCTATTCCTGACCCAACAGCCTGGCTTCAGTTTCGTGGAAATGCCTCACTTGTAGAATGAAATCCTGCCCTCATCTGCCAGTCTCTTGATAACGCTGAACTCGACGTCGGCGTCGTGGACCCTCGTCCTGCGAAAGGCTCCGGCCCAGCGGTTTTCCTCCCAGTAGTGGTGCCAGTTCCCTTCCCTGTCTGCTCCGAAGCCAAACACGGAGACCTGTGCACATGGCAGCAGGAGCCGTGGCTGTGTGGGTGCTGGGGCAGCCTGGGAGCCCATGGATGGGCAGAGCAGGGGCGGGGTGGGCACGGGGCTCTCGCTGTGCTCACCTGCTGGCAGGTGTGCAGGGCAAAGAGCAGCGCCGTGAAGCCGGTGGAGGGGTAGCGCCCGTGATGCTGCGTCCACTTGTCATGGATGTACTTGAGGAATGCTGGGCTCAGGATCAACACCTGAGTGGGGAGTGGAGGAGCCGTCAGCTGCTCTCACGCTGGAGTGGGACAGCCCAGCAGAGCCCTGCCTGCCCCAGGGAGCTGGAGCCCTCAGGGCCCTTACCTTGTTTCTGTCAGCTTTGATGAACTGTTTAACTCTCACGTACGTGCTGCAAAAGCAGAAGCAAGTGGTGAGCAGGTGGCACTGCTGCTGCTGGGGCTGCCCCTTTGTTCTCAGAGGGTGTCTGTGTCCACCTGCACCCCACCCCGTGGCACCCCCAGCCCCTTCAGCTGCCCCAGCAGCGTTGCCTGGCCTGGCTCTAGGAAGGGACACATTAAACCATGGCCCCACAGTGGGGACTCCCTCTTACAGGGGTATGGGACTGCAGAGGGATGCTAAAACCCTCTGTCCCACCAGGACTGTGGTGCCAGGGCTCTATTGTGGGACCAGGACCCCCAGACAACACTGTCTCATCCAGAGGGTCTCCAGGACAAGAGATGCCATCCCCCAAAGCTGACACACCGTGTGACCTCTCCAGTGGAGAAGGCACTGGTCACCCACTGCAGGTCCAGGGGCTTGAAGGGGACAAGGACGAGGTGGATGCCAGGCCCAAGGTTCACTGCACTCTCTGGGTACATGAAGTGATGGGTTGTTCTCGTGCCAACATCCAGCTCAAAGCCAGCAATCTTTGCTCTGTTCATCCTAAAGGACAGCAGGATGGTGTGTCCCAAAATGAAGGTGCATGGTCCCAGGTTCTGATCCCACCAGGCAGGGGCAGCAGGTCACCCTGGCCGGCGGCAAAGAGTGGGCATGGGTGACACAGTGTGTGCCCCAGAACAGAGGGCTCAAGGGAGCAGGGTCCTGGGAAGACAAGAGAGACCAAGTCCCTTCAGGTCACCCACCTCAGCACCCAGTCATGAGCATCAATTAGCTTCCCATGGCTGGAGCCCTTCAGCAGCCCCGAGTTCCCCACCACTGCACAAGTCCTGCAGCCAGGGGGGTCCCACACGTCGCCGGTCGGGGCTCGGAGGACACTGAAGAGCTGCCGAATTATGGCCTGGAGCTGGACACCATGAATGGGACCCTGCAGGGTCTAGGGGAGCAAGCACAGTGACATGCAGCATTAACCCCCCACCAGTAACCCAGAGAGAGACAGAGCCCACTCCTCCTAGCAGAGCCCTGGAAAAGCACCGAGAAAACAGATGGGCTATCAGGAAAAGGGTACAGGGAGGGGTAAGGGGGAGGAAGAGCTGAGCTGGGATCTGCACACGCTTCATCCCAATCATGCAAAACAGACCGAGAGAACCTGGAAGAACACTCCTGCCCCTGGCCCCACTCACCAGCCACCACTGAAGCACATCTGCAGAGAGCTCCTGGGCTGCCCCCGTCAGCAGGGGCCCTACGGCTGCCTCGTAGCGCTCGTGGAACCAGGCGGAGCTGTTGGCTCTGGCGGGGCAGCGGGCACCGGGGGCGTGCAGGAGGGAGGGAGCCCAGGGGACAGGGCCGAGGCCATCCGTGAGGGCTCGGAAACATTGCCACAGGGCCAGCAGCAGGCACAGGGCCAGCACCACCTTAGTGCGCCTCTGGTTCAGCATCCTGCGTGCCACCTGCAGTGAGACGGCACAGAGACCACTGGCAGTGGCACCACAGGAGCCCTTCTCACCCACCCTCCCTGTCCAAGCCTCCCGGGACACCCCTTGGCTGCTCACCCACCCTGAGGGACCTGGAGTAGCCTGGGTTTTGTTTCCTTTTCAAACCGCTCGAAGGCATTGTTGCTGTGCTCTGCCACCAGTTACTGAGGGCCGGGCAGGGCCGGCTGGCAGCACGTGCTGTAGGAGGGGCTGCTCTCTGCCCGCAACACTTTTAGGGTCTGCAAGCTGAGCAAGCTCCGAAGCATCATCGCCCTGGCCACAAGGCAAACCCCACCTTGCAGTCGGAGCGGTAGCACCCGCCCCTGGGTGTGCCGGCAGTGAGGGAGAGGAGCCAGGGCAGGGGAGCCCTGGGGGCTCTGCCCCAGCTGAGCACGCACAGGCACAGTGCAGCTCACACCCGAGCAGCCCTGGGCTTCTGCAACTCCACGGGCATTGAGGCATTGCCAGGAAGAACATTTCTGGTCTCCGTCTAAAAGCACTCATGTAAATTTAGAGGAAAAAGGGTTTTCTTGTCCTTAGGGAGTTCATGAAGTGCTCAGTGAGTTAGGACTTTGCTCCTATGGGTTAAGGCAAGAGCAAGGAGCAGAGCTTCATGCACAGCCTTCATCCCAGGCTCAGAAGAGAACACAGCAGGTTTATGGAGGTGTTCCCTGTGTACTGGGAAAGCTGAAGGAAAGAAAACTCCTCCTGTCCTCATAGGAGCACCCTACACCTCCCCCAGTTGCTGGGTGGGACCATGTGGCATGGTCCATGGGCCATGTGCCATGGTTCCATTTCTGCAGCTCCTGCAGCATGGATGTCCCTGCTCACTGTGGTGCCCAAGCTGCTGCACTCAAATCTGACTCCAAGGATGTGCCCTAGACAACGAAACTGCTGCCCCAGGAGATCAGGCAACAGCAGAGATGGAACAGGATGGGGGAATCTGCACCATCCCAGGTGGTTGCAGCAGGTTCTGCTTCCTTTGTCCTTCCCAAAAGACACTGAACTGTCACCTCATATTGAAAGGGAAAGCACAAACAAGTCATCACCAGCACTCCAGAAACCCAGATGCAGGTTCTCCCAGGCAGGAAACTGCCATGAAATGCCAGCTGTTCTCCCCTCAGGCTCAGGGGAACCCCGACAGCCCTGGCACCTTCCCTGCTGGCAGTCACAGGTCCTTGTGACTTACTCTTTTGCCCTCCTGCAAACAGCCACAAACATTTGCCATGGTGGAGGCAAAGAGCATCCATCTGATGTATGGTCTGGTCAGGCCAGGCGCCAGCAGTCCCTGGGCTGGTTCAGGCACTTGTGGAGACTCAAGGATTTTCAATCCACACTCCTGGAGGGGTGGGAGTGGGCAGGGGGCTGCATGACCAGCACCAGCAGCTCCAACAAACCCAAAGCCAGGGGACCCAGCCCAGGGAATATTTCACGCAGTTTGTTGCAGTCACTCGTGACTGGGGCACACAGGGCTCTGGACAGGAAGAGTTGAGTGGTCTCATCTCCCTGCCTGTGCCCCTGTACAGCCCCTGCTCCACGGATGGGACCCCTCCACCTGCACCCCCACCACCATGGCAGCTCAAATGACCCCACTGTCCCTGTGTCCAGAGGTGCCCTGGCCCTGGGGTTCCCCAGCCCAGAGACACTGGCCACAAGCCACCGTGCCCCAGCCATGTGACCCCTGCCCTGGGCTGCACTCAGTGGCCACAGCCCTGTCTGCTCCCACTCAGCCCCAAGGAACACTGCCAGGAGCTCCACAGTCCCACAGCAGGGAAAGAGCCTCTCCTGCCGTCATGACCTCTCGGTTCCCAGCCAGTTCCCCAGGACCCCCTCACCTCCGTGGAGGAAGCGCCGCTGAGCAGGGTGATGCTTCCGGCCTCGGTGGCCTCTGCAGGGCTCACTGCAAGAGCAACAACTGCCACGGGAAGAGGAAGTGTTGCCCCGTGACGTGGGGGAGAAGAGCGAGTGGCACAGTGAGGTCAGGGCTGCTGTCCCTTCTCCAACAGCACCTGCCACTTGGCATCCTGGCACGGCCCCTCCACACAGCCCTGCACCGTGGCAGCTGCTGGTCCCACTGGGGATGGATGCCCTGGCCCTGTTCCCAGGGCCACATCAGGAAATTAATGATCTAGAAGTTCCTCTGAAGGTGGGAGAAGCTGCATTTGAGTGGAACTGCCCTCCTGCCCCTGTGTGTCCTGCTGGGATGGCTCACTGACACCAGCAACATGGAGCTCTCAACAGCCTCGTGCATGCAGCACCTCACCAGCTTTCTTTTGCTCACCTGGATGGGATTTTGGCTCAGAGAGAAGGACTGTGAAATGTGCCTTGACAATTAGAAAAACACAGCCAGTGGAAAAGCAGCGCAAGCTGAACTGTGAGTAATTTTATCCAAGGGGAGGTCAACAAGGCCTGGCTTTGCAAGGTTTGGTGCCTGAGGTTTGGTGCAAAGACAAAGGATCTAGAAATTCAAACTAGAGCAGCCCTGTTGGTATTTATTGGTGACAGGCTCAAAGGGCCTCTGCACCACTTCTCAGGAGACAGGCACTGGGGGGACAGTGCCCTGAGCTGCCACAGAGCACATTTTCTGGATCACACACAGAGTGAAACGTGTAGGTACGGGGCAGCAGAGCACACCAGGGCTGGTCTGTGCATGGGGCTGAGGCAGGAGCACTCCTGTGGAGCCCGTGGGCTGCTGTGTTCTCGCCTTTGGCTGGCTGAGAGATTCTTGGAGACAGCCCAGAGGAGTGGTGGGCTGAGGGATGAGTGCTGGGGCAGCAGAAGTGAGCGCAGATGGTAGCTTGGAGAATTGCATTTTAAGCAGCGGATCAGATCTTCCTTCTTGAATTGCTCCTACTCGCTGAGCACGTGAACAAATGACGCTGGGAAGGCACCTTGCCTCTGGGGCTGTCCTTCAATCCACCCTTTCTGTGGGGAGATGGGAAGAAAAAGGAGTGGTGAGCACAGCACAGGGGGATGAGGAACTGGACCCACAACAGCTTCCTTTGGTTACCAAGGAGAAGATGGTGAGACAGATGCAGAGCAGGAGATGGCAATGTGTGCAACAGTCATGGGACAGAGGTGTGAAATGTCTGGAGAGGGGATCACGTGCACCCAAGTGCCGGTTACACACCCGGGTTCACTCACCCACCAGTTGCTGTCCTCCTTTCCAGACACCACAATGACCTCTCCTGTGTGGAAGGTCAGCTCATCCTCCCGGTCAGCATCGCAGTCATAGAGAGCACGAACCCTGCAGAGCGGCCGTCGGTTCTGCCAGGACAGAACATCGTCAGAACAAACCAAAATGGTGCCACTGTCCTGACCCCAAAGGCCCTGGCAAAGCTGTGAAGAGCAAGGATGAGAGGCTGGGAGATTTTCCTGTGCAGAGAGGAGTGCAGAGGGAGCAGATCATCTGCTGGGAGTTTGGGTGGGACAGGGGCTCCTTCTGCTGGAGCATCGTGCCAGAGGCAGCTGCCCCTCTGCCCCAGGACTGTGCCAGTGCAGGGCACGGGGTCCCTGTTCTCTCAGGGCAGGTCTGTGTTCACCACAGCCCCAAGACCAAGCAACCCAAGCAAGGTGTCCCTAATGAAAGGGCTCTGCCTCTGCAGTAGCATCAGCACTCCCAGCACTTAGCAGGGATGTCAATGCCAGGGAATCATGGAAATGCCAGAAGGAGAAGTTGCTGGGGCCAACAGCAGCTCAGGTCAAAAACAAAGGGGATAAATACTGGCAGATGTGGGAGCTGAGCTGATCCTGACCACCTACCAAACTGCTCCTCTGAGGAAATGGGACACTCCAAGCATGGCCAGAACATGGATCTGGCTCCTGGAGGGCTCGGTGTGGGCCAGGCTGTTCTACTTTGCTGGGGCCAGATGTGCAGAGGGGGTCCAAGGCTTTCAGGGCACCTAAAACACAACCAGGCTGGTTCATCTGCTCACACCTTTCATCACAGGTGGACAACAGCAACCACCACTGTCAGGCAATATGGTGCAACACGGTCCTGCAGGATGGTACAGTGTGGGCAGCAATGCCCCCATCAGTCTGGGAGCTGGGAAGGGGAGGGACTGGGGATAGGGGAGGGATTGGGGACAGGGCAGGGACTGGGGACAGTTGTGCTGCTCTTCAAAGCAGTGATCAGTGCTAGGTCAGACCAGCCAGCACAAGCCAGCCTTGGACCCTGAGGAGCAGAGGCCCAAAGGACAACCCAGGGCACCAGACAAGCCCTCCCACCCTGCTGGGGCCCAGCTCCCTCCCAGACCCCCCTCTGTAGATGGGGCCAGGCTGCAGCAGCAGCAGCTCACCCTGCCAGCCCCCACAGGACCCTGCCACAGCCTCTCACCTGGCTTTGCCTGCTGGGGTGGGGATGGAGGTGGGTGGGAGGGGGGCTGTGGCACCTCCAGTCCGTGTAGGTGGGCGGCTGGAGAGGGACAGGGGTCCGGCCACCCATCCTGGGGCGCTGCCTCTGCTGCCTCTGGCCTGGGGACAGCGGCAGGGGGGTGGCAGCAGCTCTGGGGATGGGCAGATCCCCTCTTCTCAGGACCCATCTGGGAGAGGGGGTTGCAGGTTGGATGGAGGGTGCACAGCTGGGAGCAGCTCCCACTCCAGTGCAGGGAGCGAGGCCACAGCAGCGCCCACGGCCCCAGCCCAGCCCCCCTCAGCACCTCACCTTCTCATCCAGCTCTTGGTCACTCTCAAACATGTCATCCTGTCCCAGCCACCACTCGTGTTCCACGTGGACGTGGGGGTTGAATTGACTGCTCTGGGCCTGCAGCAGCTGGGGCACAGGGGAGATCCCTGAGGACCCATCAGACCTGTCCTACCCCACCAGCCCCACCGGCCCCATATCCGAGCACCCACCCAGCAGGGCAAGCTCAGCAGCTGCAGGCAGTGCTCCCCAGCAGCAATGGGCCACTGCCAAGGCCTCCAAATGCACAAATCAGGATGTGGAAAAGCCAAGCCTGGCTTGCTGAGGAGACGCACAACCCCAGCGCAGATCCAAGTCCCCCTGCCTGATGCAACCCCTGCCTGGCCTGTCCTGTAGGGCCAGCACCCACCCTCACTCCTCTGCATCCCACACGGGCACTGGAGGTGCTGAGGGGCACGGGTGGCCCTGTGGACACGTCCACGTGGGTGTGGGTCCCCCCTGCTCTCTGCTGCTGGGACGTGTCCTGAAACAGGAGGGGTGGTGAGACAGTGCCTTACCAGCTTTTCACACAGGGGGTGTCTCATCCTCCTGGCAACATCCAGGGCCGTCTCTCCTGCTCTGTTAGCTGTGGGGGAAGCAGCACCCTGAGGCCCAGGAGCCCACGCTGTGCTCAGTGAAACAAAGAGCTGTGCTTTTTTGGGGGGATATCTGGCAAAATAAGCCTAAAAGAAGGGCCAGCCTATACCCAGGAGCAGAACAAAGGCTCAGACCATTGAAGGATGGTGGTGGGAAGATGAAGAGCACAGGAGTTGAGATACACAAATAAGGAGAGAAAGGAGTAGGAGTAAATCGATGACTTGCAGAGGTGAGACAGGGCAGAGAGGACAAAAAGACAAAAGAGCCTCATTGCCAGAGCCTCAAGGCTACAAAACCAGAGGAGGAGACCATAGGGAAGGCGTTCCCCGTCCTCTGTGTCACCACAGGGATCAGTGTGTGTGTCCTGATGCCTGATGGACACCCAGGTCCCTGTGCTTGCAAGAAAAGTGCGAGAGAAAGTGCAAACGAGCCACAACCATTTTACATCGGTTTGACTTTAAAATACAACTCCTCCCATTGCTTGGAGGTGTGAGGGTGGGACCTGTGATGGTGTTGCTGTAATGCAAAACCCCTCCTTGCAGAGCAGCAGCATGACACTGGCTGGGAGGGCTCTGGGGAAGGGGGAAGGTGGGAGAAGGGAACAGCAAGAGGTCTGTACCCAAAGGGACTGCAGAGCATCCCCAGACCAGCTGTGGGACCTGCACTGTGGACTCGGGGTTCTTGAGGTGCCAGTGTTAGTAAAGGTGGGTCAGGCCCAACTGTGCCCAGCATGGCCAAGGCAGTGAGAAATGTGGCTGCCAAATCCCTGTGCAGCTGGGGGACACACACCCAGCTCCTGCTGCTCTCTTTGTCCTCCAGGGGGCTGCTCCTGTGCTGCCTGGAATGGGAAATGGGACCATCACAGGAGTATCCCAAGAGGCAAAAGCTGCACCTGCCAGCTTGGCTGACACCTCACAGTGGGAACACTTGTGCCCTCCCACTTCACCCACGATCCCAGTTTTTCAGCTCACTTCTGTGATGTGAAGAGGAGATTTATGAGCAATATAAATGGTTGGACCTGTGATCTGGGCACCAGAGCACCAGCACACGCCGTCTCAGAACCAGTGCTTTGATAGTCCTCCTGCCTGTGCTCCAGCACTGAAGTGTTGGCTTTGGAAACGAGTTCAGTGCCTGTTTTGGCTTCTGCTGTGCATGTGCAGTGTGTGGCAGAGCAGCTCAGGCAGTGTTTACCTCGCTGGACTCTGCCAGCTTGGTGAGCCCACCCCGCTGCAGTCCCACCAGCAAGGGGGACAGTGAAGTGGGGCAGAGGCACAAGCTCCCTGGGCCAGAGTTTACTCCCTGGGGAGCAGAGAAGAGCATCCTCTGCTCACAGCTGGAGAGCAAAGCCACTGCTTCTGTCCCAGGCTGTCAAGAGCAGGACCTGTGAGATGTGATCACCCCACTCACGGAGGGCCACGTGCACCCCAAAGCAGTTTGTGAGTGATGCTGAGCCTGGAGAGCCAGCCCAGAGCAGAGTCAGGGCAGGGCACCTCGCTGGATGTGGGAAGAGCCTGGAGCTGACGCTGTCCCCCTGGGGGCTGAGCTCCACACCAACACTGCCATCCACCTGCCCGCCCACAGCCGCAGCCAGGAGCTCTGAACACTCCAACAGACCACGAGGGTGCTTCCAGAGAAGAGCTGGGCAGACACTCTGTGTGTGCCACTCACTGATGGTGATGTTGGCTCCAGCCCTCAGCAGCAGCGTGGCGCACTCAGGCCTGTTGTGGGAGCAGCAGTAGTGCAGCGCCGTGTTCCCCTCCACCGTCTGCCCCACCAGGCTCCTGCTGCAGCACAGGGGGACAGTGTCAGCACCTCTAGGAAGAGCCACCACCACCCCAGCCCCAGCAAACACTGCCTGGTGCTAACACGTGTCCTGTTTCCCACCTCACCTGGAGAACGGGTGGTCACCACCATTGTCACACCTCAGCCCACGGGGGACAAGGGAACCCCTCTGATCTAAGGGAAGTTACCCCAAGCCCAACCTGAGACTTGTTTTCCCTGATGATTTTTCTCTTCTTTTGGGAGCATTTCAGGAAGATCATCGGTCTTGCACCTTTCATTAAGGTCAGCCATGACAAGCTGACTGGCTGGGATGAACTTACCTGTTCTGGACAAGAAAATCAACAATATGCAGAGAGGTTTGATCAGACAAAAGCACTGCCAGGTGGAGAATCGTCTCCCCAGGTTCCTATGACCAAGAAGAACAGAGCAAGGATGAGACAGAGTCTGCCTGTTGTGCCCTTTGGGGCTGTCTTGACACAATTAAAATCCCAGAGATGAGTAAGTTTAACTGTCTCTTCAGAGGCCACCAAGGCTGGTGAGAACCCAGTATAAATAGTGAGCTCACAGCTTCATGAAGAAGAACCAATCATCCCCTTTTCACTTTTAGAAACCATGGCAATCAAAGGTATCAAATTTTGTCCCCAGGCCACCAGCTGAACTCTGTCAAGCCCAGGATCTCAGCAGAGCCCTGGGGAGTTCAACAGCTGCTCCCTGCAGATCTGCTTCTCACTCACCAGTTTGTCCCAACATGTCCCAGTGCTTCTTGCTCACTGCAACATTTTGCTCCTTTGCTTGGAGGACCCCCACCAGCAGCAAGCCTGCAGCTCTGGGGATTCCCTAAATTCCTAACAAACACCACTCTCTTCCTCCACTTACAGCAGTGACCCACACTGTGGTTTTGCAGGAAAAAATGCTGCCCTGTTTTAGGTAAATCTCAGTTACAAATAGGCCTTGGAAAAGCCTCGGGCTTGTGGTTTTGACTCCTGCCCCCTCCACACGCAGCACAAGGAGGGTTGTGGGGTCACAGCCAGAAAATCCTTCCTGTGCCGTGACATTCCTCGCCCTGCCTGAGTCTGCCTGTTGCTCCAGCTCATGGAGAGCACCATTTTCATCAGAAAACTGTTCCCTCCCAGGCACAGGGACCCTTGTGGACAGGCTGGAGAGCAAAGCTGATTGAAATACGGGCCTGTGGGGTGGGTGGCTGTACCTGCAGAGGGGCCAGCACAGGCTCGCTCAGGTCCACGTTCTGTGCATATGCTTGGAGCAAAGAAAGCATGTCCTTGTTCTTCACAGCTCCTGGGAGGGTGGAGAATTGAACAGGAGGGCTCCTCTTGGCATATTTCTTCTCAACATATTTGGAAATGATGAAATTCTTCCGAGAGGCCCTTGCAGAGAGCAGCCAGATGGGAGTCAGGGGCCACAGAGCAACCCAGCAGGCTCCCTCCTCTCTTTCCACCCCAGCCACCTTCCCTCTCTCTCCTCAGCCCTGCCAGGCAATTTAGCACCCAACTCCTCTGCATCAGCATTCATTACAACTCTCACAGGGCACTCTGGTTTTCTTAAAGCTTCCTTTCTGCAGTTACATAATTAAACAGGACCTTCACTTTCATGCACTTAAACTGCCATGGCCTGGGGCTGAGGACTCCTGCACACAATGTGAGAAGCCAAAACCAGCCCCCTGTCTTTCCCTCTCAGGGGGCAAAGGAGTGCTCCAAACAGAAAAGGTTGAGGGAGAACCAAATTACTAATTTCACACAGTTTAGGTTTCCCCAGCACACAAGTAGAAGAGTGGAAATGGCAACTTGGATCCTGACCACACTGTTCCAGTTGTATTTTCCTGTTCTCCCAGCTCTCTGCTGCTCTCTCCCTGCTAAGTGCCATTCCTTACTCATCCATTCACTGCAGAGTAGGTCCACACCGTCCAAATGGTACCACAGTCAGGACTTACAGGATTGTAATGGAGCCTAATTACGCCTGCTCTGCCTGCCCTCCAGCCTCCCTGAAGTCCCCTCAGCCCTGACAATGTTTCCCAGCTCTGTGCTTCCCCCAGGAGCGCTGCTGCACCCCACGTTCATGGCACACCACCCTGGAGAAGCCCCCAGCTAATACTGGTACCAGCCATGCCACCAGCTGTCCCCTGTCCTCTGCAGAGCCTGGGGGCACCCCGGGATGAAGGACAGCAGTTCCCACATCCTGAGCCAACCCTGTGTTGATCCCACCAACTCTGGGCCACTGTGCACAGTGAGCTGCTTTGCACCATGCACGTCCCTGGCACCCATCCCACTGCGCCCTCCTGCCACCCTGCTCTGCAGCTCCACTCTGGTTCTAAATTTTCCCTTCTTGCCTTCTCCTTTCCAACACTGGCTCCTCAACCTTTGTCCTGACCTCGAGGCCAATCCTTGAGCTGCCCTGCTGGCTTTTCCTCACTCGCCTTCTCTCCTTTATCAAACTTTTCCAGCTAAGCTTGATAAAGCTGCTCCTAAAGGGAAGTGCCGGTCTCGGGAGGAGCCTGAGCAGTGTCCTGGTGCTGGTCACTGCAGGGAGCACTCTGTGCTCAGGGGTGTCCACTCACATGTCACTGTGAACAGTGGGCTTCCAGGACAGGTTGTGCAGATTTGCTTCCATAACACTGTTGAAGCCGGAGTTGCCGATGTTCCTCGCCAGCTGCAAAACAGCCAAGGAGGAGGTGCCATGGGACACAGAGCAGCTGAGAAGGGGCAGCTCCAGGTTGAGATCCTGGCCAGGTATCCAGGGGATGTCAAGGGGTGCCAGGATGTGTGTGCCCAACAGCTGGAGGCTTCTGATTTTCCTCCTGCTGCTGAGAACTCCCAACTCCAGCAGAGCAACCAACCCCAGAGTTGACCCCTGTGCTCAGAGCTGGGCAAGCAACCATCCCTGCAAAAAGCCCCTTCTCCTGCCCTGCTCCCCAGCAGCAGCTCCAGTCACAGCCTGACTAAACCCAGGAGCACTGAGGGCATTAAAACAGCCTCATGCACAGTCTCCAAGCCCTCCTCTGCCCCATGCTCTGCCCTGCCCCGGTTCAAGCTTGGCCCTGCCCCACAGCTCCCCTGCACTGGGGGACACAGATGGGGAAAGGGGACTGAGAGCGATGGGTGACCCAACAACAGCAAAATGACTCCCTCCTCTCCTCCTGGAAGATGACAATTCCTGACACAATAACCACTAAACCCTGGGAATTACAGGTGGGTACAGATCAGTTTAACAGGTGAAAAAAACCCACAGAATTAACTTAGTTTTAGAGAGGCCCCAGCAGAAACAAGAGAGGCTTGAGCACAGAGCACTCTGGCAGCATCCTACCAGCAATTCAGAGGTTGCCAGCTTGTCCAGAGACAGCGACTGGACATGGGAGAGGTGCACACCCATCTCCCTGTGAACCCCTGAGCACTCCCTGCAGATCAGGATGCCCAAGTTAACGGAGAGCCAAGAGGGATCTGCAGGGACAAGACCACAGGGCTTGTGTGGATCTCTTGCCTCTGCTCCCTGCTGGCCCCCCAGCACCCCGTGGCACGAGCTCCCCAGCAGGGCAGAGGGGAGAAGCATGACCCCAGATGCCTGTGGGTTTTCGGGAGCTGGATGCCTTTGGGGCAGGGCAGAGCACTGCCTGGCCAGGGGGGGGAAGCACAGGGGGCAGGGGGAGCCCCAGGACCATGGGCTGGCTGTCACCTGGGGCAGAGCAGTCACAGCACTCCCCGTTCCCAGGCACAGCCCTGAGCTCCTCGATGATGGCTCGGCTCAGCTCCTCGTGGCTGCTCTGCCCTCCACCCCGGGCCTTGCTGAAGGCCACGTTCAGTGCCCCCTCCTTGCTGTTGCTGAGGATGGACACCCAGCTGCAAGGGCAGGAAGCAGGTTAGGAGCAGGGTCCCATGGCTCTGTGCTCAGGCTGCAGGGCCAGAAGGGCAGCAGGGCTTGTCCCACTGTCAGAGGGGAGATCCCAGGCTGCCCCAGACTGTGCAGCAGCCACCACACACAAAGGTCTTTCCCAGGACTCCAAACTGGTTGCCAGGAGCACCCCCTCAGCCCCATGTCCTCTCTGTGACTGGCAGTTCCCCCAGAGAGACTGGGCACAGTCAGGATGCAAAGGGCATCAGCCAAGGGGCTGCCCCATGCTGCTCAGTTAGCCAACAGCCCAGCTCATCCTCGGAGCCAGGGCTGTTGGTGGTTTTTGGTGCTGGCAGTACTCACATGACACAGTCCTGCTCATCCTCGGCCTGGAAGTGGAACGTGCGGTTGTCTGAAACACACAGAGCCCCCCTGACACCCTGGTGGAACTGCAGAGCCTTCAGGGCAAGGCACAAACCCCTGAGCTGGGCTCAGCAGACCTGGGAGCAACCTCCAGCCCAGGCAGCCTGGCTGACAGCCCCTGCCCAGTGCACCCCAAGGAAAGGGACCCACTCCTGTCCCAGGAAGGAGGGATACTGGAGTCAGTTTAACTGCAGCCCAGGAACTACACCTGCCCCACAGCAGTGTTTTCTGTCTCACCCCCCGTGTGTGCATCACTGCTCCTGAGCAGAGCTGCCTCCTGGCACAGTTTCCTCAGGGTAATCCCCCAAGCTGGCCCAGAACTGCCGAGCTTCCCCCCATCCCTGAACACACCGTTTCTTTGAGCCCCAAGCACTGCCCCAGCTTCAGGCCCTTCCCAAAGGATCCATAGGGCAGGTGCCAGCACTCACGGGAAACCAGATCGAAGCATTTCTTGTCATCCCTGTGTGGCTTCACTTGGCAGGTCAGTAAATTCAGCCGGGCTGGGGGGCGGCTGAGCTGCAAGCAGAACGAGCAAACACTTCAGGGCTGTGGTGCTGTGGGGACAAGCACCACCTGGCTCTGGAGACAGACACGGGACTGCCCCATGCCCAGCACTTTTTTTAGCTGAGCTCTCAGGAGCAATGCAAGAAATAGTGACACAGAACTTTTCTTTCCCAACAGCCACCCCGTGCTTGAAGCCAGGTCCCCAAGCTCATCCCTCTCCATGCACAGAGACAGACAAGGATCTCCTGTGTTTGTCTAACACTCTCTGGGTTGCAGGGACATCAGTCTCAAGAGAAAGGCTCCTGTGCCAGGGCAGTCCAGCAGGGGAAGCAGCAGGCACGAGGGCCCTGACAAGCCCCAGGAAGCCACTGGAGTGCCCCTCAGCAACAGGCTCTGCAGACCCTGAGGGGCAGGCGGCAGCTTCCAGTGGGAGCAGAGGGGAAGAAGCAGTTCCTACCATGCTGTGAGAGATGGTCAGGTATCCATTGCTGACGGTGCATTTCCTCCTCTGCCAGACTTTCCTCAACCTGGAAGTGAGTGGGGGGTGAAGTGAAGGACATGCCCGTGGAGGAGCAGCCGTGCAGTGCAGCGCAGCCCTGGCAAAGGCAAGAGCCATGCAAGGCCCAGCACAGGCCCACAGCTCTCAGGGACACGGCTGGGATCCCACAGCCTGGCTCTGTTGCTGTCGGTGTGCTCCGAGCTGGGAAGGAGCTGTCAATGTGGCACAAGGCAGGTTTGTCCCGACAGGCAGCTCCCCGTGCTGCTGGGGTGGTGGTGCAGGAGCAGAAGGGCAGTCAGGGCAGCAGGACCTGCTAGCAGAGCGGGAAGCCTTTGCAGAGTCCTCAGCAAACATCCACAAGCCCTTCAGCTCCAAAGTGACCCCAGGCTGCTTTCCTGTGCCTGCCACCAGGGCCCACCATCACACAGGGAGAGGTGGGAGAGAGACATCCACAGGGTGAGGAGATACCTGTGGTGAAGGAGACTCCTGAGGTCATTATTTTCGATACAGTTTCAGGTATTTCTAGGGTACTTCATGGTCCTTTCCAGGTATGCAAGTCTCTCAGCATAAGACCCCTGTGATTCCCAGCAAGCATTCTGGTGGGAGCTGATCCTCTTTTCAAAGACAGTGGAGTGCTTTCCTCAGGGAAGAGTGCCTGCTGGCTCTCTACCCTCTGGCCCACAGTGCCCTCTCCAACACTCATGCTGTGTCTAAGTCACCCCACATTTCTGCTCCTTCCCCTAATTCTCACCGTCAGGGATCTGAACCCAGTACTGAACTGTGAGGGCAGAGGGGTCTGAAAGGCAAAGGTCAGGGCTGGGGAGGATGGGAAGGGAGAAGAGAGCATAAAACATCACCAGGACTGTATATAAATCCCCATGGCACCCCTGAGCATCTCCCATCCAGGAGGGTGGAGGGCTCAGGTCTCCTCATGCTGGAGCAGAGGCGATGGAGGAGGTTCTGGAAAGCAAGGAGTGCCTGGGAGAGGGGGAGAGGCACCGACCCTTCCTGTCTCTGCCTTGATAAAGGAGAGAAGCACAAGATTTCAGGGTGCTGGATGAAAGCAGTAGGATCCCTGCTGGAGGGAAAGCCAGCTGGTTCTGGCTTCTCACAGTGTGTGCAGGAGTCCTCACCCCCAGCACCTGCAGGGTTTGAGAGGACATTGCTCAGCTTCAGGGGACAGGAATGTCCTCAGAGCTAAAAGATGGACACAGGCTGCTTGGAGCTTTGTGCTGAAAGCTGTTGGAGGCTGGGACAGTGTCAAACACACCTTCATGAGCACCTGTCCTGTCCCTCTGCCTTGTGGCCAGGGAAAGGAGATTGGTTTCAATGGCTCTAATCTGGCCCCAGGTCACCAAAGTACAACTGAAAGGGTTAATGTTGATCCAACTCACCCATGGCTTTTCTTGAGGAGGGTCCCTGACCTCTCGGTGCCGTTCTGCTTGTTCCCTTGCAGGTGGTGCATGTTGTGTCCTGCCTGCCTTTTCCCAGGGTCCTGGCAGAAGCAGAGAAATAGCAGCAAGGCCCTACCCCAACAAAACCACTGCCAACCAAGAGTGTGGCCTCCCAGGACTGAGCTGTGCTCGCCCAGAGCTCACCAGAAACCCCACCCGCAGCTCTTGGTGTCAGTGGGCAGACATTCCATCGGCAGCTGCTGTGCCTGAAGGATCAAACCTTACCTCTTTCTGCTCCAGCTGGGATGCCATTTCCAGCTGATGCCGATGGGAGCAGAGCTGCTGCTTCGCCTCGTCCTGCCTGATCTTTGTCTGAGAGGCACTGGAGCACAGGGAGCCTCTCCGGTGGTAGCAGCAGGATCCTGACTCAGCTGCTCCAAATCCTCCTCCCGGGTGCAGCAGAGGTGCCCCCAACTCCACCCTCTGCCCTCACTGACTCCTCGGTGTGGGGGACTCCCTGAGCCCCATTCCTGCCGTGGGAGGTTCTGCTCGTCCCCTGCAGAGCCTGGAATGTGGTATGTGAGGAGGGAGGCAGGCACGTCCCAGCGCTCCAGCAATGAGAGCACAGTCTGCATTTTCCTGTGAAAGCAGCTGTTTGCAGTGTAAAAGCATCCAAGAGCCCGAAGGTCACGCTGTAGTGGCTGTTAGATATTCTTTTTTTTTTTTTTCCCCTCTTGGTAGCATCAGGAATTTAAAAAATTAAAAGGTCTTCAAGTCATCAAAAGCTGATAGACCTTGGCACTGGAATGTGCCCCTGAAGCAGAGCCTGGGGGTTTGTCTGCAGGATGGATCTGTAAGGTGCTGCTTGTTGTGCTCAGTTACCTCGTTCTGGGGTGGTGCCTCCCCTCTTTTTGTTATTTACATAATGACTTTTACTGTGAATGGTTACAAATTACAGAACAAGCAGGGTAACACACCCAGAGCAGGCTGATTCAGACAGAGCAGCAGATGCCCAGAGGAGACCTGCACAACAGGACCAGGAGAAATGGGTACAGGTGATGGTGATACGGTATTTGGATGAGGACCATACCCCAAACCTCTGCAAGTCTGGAGTGTGGAGGAGGATGAACAAACTGGAAGGGAGGTCTAGAAATGCTGGGAAACCAACATCAGCGCTGTGCTGTGCTGGAAGGACACCCTAGCCCCTGGGACACGAGTGCTCAGACTGCCTCTGGAAGCCTTGCCACTCGGAAAAACTTCCTCCTGTCTCCAGGCCACGGATGACTGACAGAATGCAAAGCCCAAGGTCTCAAGGCTTACAGGACCTGCCCCCCAGGAAACACACTGGATTGGCAGCAGCTGGAGTGGAAAGCTGAGAGCACAGATGAAAAATCTGGACATCTGCAGAGCAGCTGGAGATGTGGCAGAGGAATAGGCTTGTGCCTCCTTGGTACCCATGTTTGTGCTTGTTCTTTCTACTCTGTGGCCTGGGGGATGGCCCTGTACTTCTCCCACTCCCAGAGATGGCTGCATTTTACCCCTCCGTGGACCACAGTGCATCGGGAATTAAAGATTAATAGACGGGAAGAGTTGCAGAAATCCTCTGCAGGTTCTACTTCTGCAGAGGAAGAGGAGGCTTTGGGATAGACATCCCTGCTCTCCAGTCTGCTCCTGCTCAGCTGCAGCCACCTTCAGATGGATACTCACACTCTGCAGCTCTGGGAGGAGCCTCTCTGTAAACTCATCCCTGCTCACCCTCTGCAGGCTGTTGGCAGTGGCCTCGCAGCAGCCCGTGTGGTGGAGAAGGCAGAGGTGGGGGGTGAACTGAAGTCCTCCTGCATCTCCTGCTCACTGAGCTGAGGATGGAGGTGGGGCAGCAGGAAGGGAAAGTGCCAGCAGGAGCTGGGCTCTCATCAGGTGTGGCGGGGTCTGGGGTCAGCAGCAAGAGCAGGGATGAGCCCGTCGCCTTGCAAACCCACACCCTGAACAGGCACACCCACCCTCCCCCTCAGCGTGCACACACAGACACACACCCTGCACGCCCCAGGGACCATTATAAACTGAAATGTTCTGAGGAAGCCTGAGGCAGACACTTTTAAGTCTCAGGGAGCCCCAGCCTGGTGGTGTGGTGGGAAACATGTCTGAGCATGGCTGAAAGAGCCAAGAGGCTGTTTTGGGGGTGTGTTGGGGTGCACTGAGTTTGTTTGCATGGACCAGTCACTGCTGGAGTGCACCAGGTGTGCTGGGATGCACTGGGCACTGCTGGGGGGGACTGGGGACTGTTTGTGAAGGCAGAAAAACGGGGTGATGCAGCACTGTCACACCCCAGGGCCTCGCTGTAGCCCCTAGCAGGTGCATGACTGAGCCCTTTGCAGCCTTTTTCACCCCCACTTCACAGCCCAGGGGTCCCCTGGGGGAGAGAGAGCTCCCTGTTTGCCATTCTGGGGACCCCAACCTGTGGCTACTCTGCCCCCCCAGGGGAGCACCTTGTCTGCCCCACACTCACTCCTGCCTTCATGTCCAGCCAGAGTCCTCTCCTCCTCCATACCAACCTGCTCTCCTCTGCCCAGTTTCCTCCCCAGAACCTCCTCCATTCCTGCCTCATTCAAAAGGCAATCAGGCCTTTGCTAGAAAACCCCATTGTCGGTTAATTTCTTTGGAAATGCAGCTGTCCCACTGAGCATCATCTGCACCAGGACGAGACCTCTCAGCAGGAATCTCTCTCGTCAAAACCTTGGGGGAAACACCTCCACTTGAAATCAGATCACATCAGGGCTTGCCTGTACAGATGACAGGAGCCTTGGGGCACCAGAGACCACGCTGAGAACAAGTCTCATCTAATTTACATCAGCCCAGCACCAAACACAGATTGGAGCTCGTGACCCCAGGCTGTCCCAGCGCCACCCTCGCTGCTGTGCTGCCCAGGAGGAAGGGTGAGGGGGCAGTGAGGACTGCAGGCAGCAGCTTGTGCCCCAGCTCCAGAAAGCAGCTACAAAACACAAACAGCATCAGAGAGAGCAGCCAAGGAGCTTTTATTCCTGAGGAAATGAAACAAACCTGGCTCCAACACAGCATGTGCAGCAAAAGCTGTTAAGCAGCTTGTAAGGAGTTACAACCAGAAGGTCCATGTCCTAGGGAGTGTTAACCACACCCAGAGCCAACTCCACCACCAAGAGTTGTTCCTGTGCTCTTGGCACAGCAGGAAGCTTGTGGCTACCTTTGTTATCCTTCTCCCTGCAGAGCTCTATTCAAAGATCTTTCAGGTCTTACCTCCACGAGGCCCCCACACCAGACCTGCTCTCCCCCTGTACACTGTTTTGAACTCTCCAGGCAAAGGTGTGGTCAATGCCAAGTGTTGTTGAGCCAGGGCATGGATGGCTCTGCGTGTCCCCATCTCGCCAGAATCACCCTCGATGGCCAGAGCTGGTTTCAGCTGCCATGTCTGTGCCCAGCAGATTCCCATTTCCCACCCTCCCACTCCAGTCCCACAATGAATATTTTTTTCCCGAAGTTTTAACTGCCTTCCAAGGACTTTGGCTAATTTAGCAGGTTGGTCACTTGGTTCCTTGGCATCTCATGGGTACGTGGCATGAAATGGGACTCCCAGAGAAAGGCTGCTTCTGCAGGTCCCTCACTCTGAAGGTTGCCTCTGGACCTGCAGGGTTTCATTAAAATTTCTGGTCCAATCTCTATTCCTGCCATAATCACCCTTGTCTTTGAGTAGTCCTGTGCTGGAGAGCATTTATCCATTGATGATCTTCTCGCTGATGTATCCAGGCATGGTGTAGATCAAAAGAACCAGGAAGATGGTCAGAACGGCGACAATGAACAGCACAATTATATATTTCTTGTACCGTTTCCAGATAAAAAACACAAAGGTCTTCATGGGATTCACAAACCAGTTGAAAGACGTCTTTGGCCGGCTGGAACAGGAAGGGAAGAATAGATAAGCACAGGCTCAATTCACAGAGCAGCACACTGGCCCCTCTGCTTTGGTGTCCTGCTGCTCTCAGGAATGACCAGCTCTTCCTGCTGCTTCCAGGCAGGATCCCCTCAGGGGCTGCAGTGCCTGTGGGGATGCTGGAGGCAGCAGGATGGGTTCCTCGGAACAGCCTCACAGAGCTGTCCTGCACCCACCTGGCCAAAGGGACAGAGCTGCCCATTGTACAAGCAATGTGATGGCACAGCTGCCTTGATTATCTTCCCAAGATCAGCCCCGGGCCAGCTGCTGCACCAACACGTCATGTGGACCCACTGGAGCTCTGGGAAGCCCCAGCAGCCCCAGTCCTGCAGACCCCACTGCCCAGGGCCCCAGTGATTGCTCTCAGCTTCCTGAGCAGATGCTCCCAGTGTCCATGCAAAGAGCTGCTGAGAACACAGCACTGCCCATCCAAAAGGGGATAACAATGCAAAGAACTGCTGAGAACACAGCACTGCCCATCCATGCTGAAGGTGATAACACAGGTACTCACTTGGGCTTTTCCAGCGGTTCAGGCTCTTTCCGGCCCAAACCAACAGGACTTTTTTCAGCCTCCTCCACAGTCAGCAGCTGGAATTCTGCTTCCACCTTACCCTGGAGGGGGAACATGTCTGAGCCACAGCTGTCTGTGTTGCTTCACAGACCAGCCTGCTGACCATCCAGCCTGCCACAACTGGGTACTTCTCTCCCATTTCCATTTACAGATGTTCCAAGTTTTTCCTTCATTAGCTACAGTCTCTCACTTCACAACCAGTGGAAACTGTGGTCTGTTCAGACACCAACTCTTTTGCACCCAAGGAACTATATTGTAATGAACTCCCCAGGTACCTGGATCTGTCTGCAGCCTCCCACAGTGGCACGGAGAAAACTCACCCGTGGGGACACACAGGCAGGAGTGGGGGGGTTGGGTGAGTGGCCTGGGGTGTTTCAGTGGGAACACTAAATTGAGGAATACCATTCCTAAACACTAATAGCACCCCTTAAGGAGCTCTACTCTATGGGAAGCTCAGAGGAATACGTGAAGTTGGACACCCCTGCATGCCACGGCAGCTGGCACTTCTGGGTAGAACAAGTGCTGGATTTGCAGCAGATGGAAGAAGTCTCCAAGACCCTGCACAAGGGTAGGTTATGTGCATGCAGGACAGGTTGCCATGTCAAGGCAGAGGCCAAACACCGGCTCTGCTCAGCAGTGCCAGCACCACACCTTACCGTCAGGAGGTACTTGTTCCCGCTGGGGTCTGTGAATTCCACGTCCTCCTGTTTGACTGAGCCGCTCCACTTCTTTTTCTTCTTCTTCTTGCCCTCCCTCTCCTCTCTCTCCTCGTCTTCCTGATCTTTGAGTTTGATGAAGGGCCACCAGCCCCTCATGCGCTTGTTTCGGAAGATGGAGAAGCGAGGTGTCGCGTTCTCCTTGGCCATCCTGATGGTGCACTGCTCGGAGCTCTTGGCCGCCCTCACCATGTCGTGCAGCTTCAGCTCGATGGAGCCTGCGGGCACAGCGGACAGGAGACTCGTGGGGAAACCCTGAGCTCAGCCCCACACAATATTTGGCCTTCTGTTCCCCCCCCACACTCCCACGGCCACAAGCAGGTCCCAGCTGCTGCAGTGATCTAGCACGTTTACAGATGGACAACCTGCAGCTTTGCATAAGGAAGGATGAGACTACGAGGCAGAAGCCCCAGGGCTTGTCTCCTCTCTGATGCAGCCACTTTGGAGTGCATGTGGGAGAGTGAGTTATTTTCACTCCTTTACCATGTCCCACCCTGCTCTCCTCACACGTCCAAGCTCATCTTCCTCTCTCATTCCTGCAAATGTCAGTTAAAAATTATAAAATCTGGGAAATGCTTTAAAGGTTTCAAGCTTGTCTTACATCTGCAACAGCCTCAGTTCACCTCCCTGTTTGGTCTTGTGTCCCTGCTCGTCCCTGTGTCCCTGTTCTGCTTGGGATGAGATTGTAAAGGCCAGAAATCATTGCAAATGCTATCAAACACTTTCTTCAGTGCCTGACTAGCATGGCTGAACCACTGTAAGTGCCTCATGGAGGTAAAGCCCCTTAAATACACCATGGAAGTTTGAAGAATAAAGAGAGTTTTAACCCATCCAAGAGAGAGTAGCACAGAGGGGCTGGTTTTTAACGGGGAGGTCAAAGTTTGAAGAAGGGACAACTTAACAGAGTGCTACAAACTTGGGGAAGTGGGAGAGAACCAGCAGCACTTCTGTTAGAATAGTGTGGGTGGAATCATCACTAGCCCTGTAATGATTCAACACCAGGCCTTGCTGCACACCCAGCTCAGCAGGTCTGATTCCTGGGAAGCACCAGAGCATCCAGGGAGTTCTGAGCTCCCAGAGATGGGGTGCTGCAGCTCAGGCAGAAATAGTCTCCCAAAGGTTGTCAATCCCTGTGCTGGCAGCATGAACTCCTGGGAAAAGTTCTCCTTGGCCCAGCCTTAGGGATCTGCAGATCTAAGAGCAGGGGAAATGAGCAAGCTTGTTGGAAAGGTTTTAAGGAAGCAGGATCTGGAAGTCCTGCAGTGCGACGGGCCCTGAAAAAGGACACCAAGGCCCTGGGACAAGCATGCAAGCCTGTCTGTGGAGGAGAGGTGTGTGTCTCCAGGCTCTGTTTAGAGCTCACATGGGAGATACTAGCCCAGGTGACCACTGAGCTGACAAGCTTGATCTGATGTTTCTGGTGTCCCTTCTTAGAGAACCCCAGGGAAACGCATTAATACGCCAGCAAGGTGAGGGACAGGTCACCCCATACCTAGAAAGTCATTGGCTGAAATCCTGTCGTAATCCCAGACCTGGAGGACCAGAACAGCCGGTTCCCGAAACTCTGACTCCTCCACAGAGAAGACAGAGTCCTTTTTCTTGTAGGTGATCTCCTTCTCAGTCGGGAGGTAGTTGAAGCGGAAGATGAACCTCCAGTTGAAATTGCCTTCCCCGGTCAAGGAGTTGAAGTGGACATCCGTCTCCTGCTTGTCGTGGTCAAGACCCTTTATCCAGCTGCAGGAGAAACTCAGTTAGCTCTGCCAGCCAGCCCCAAAGGCAGAGCAGAAGGATGGAAGGGCTGAACTCCATGGGGATAGCAAGAAAGGAAGGGTTGAAGAGTCAAACCAGAGCAACACGGGATCAGCATCTCTGGGGGTACAGCAGAGGAGTGGAGTGGGCACCTCATGCCAGTGCAGGGAGGTTCAGAGAAGGCAGTGAGGGTGTGGGTCAGGGAGGGTTGTGGCCTCTGCCCTGGATCCCATCAGACCTTTTCACGTAGATATCACTCGAAGTCTCTCCTGTTACAGGGTTGACATCGTCAAGAATCACGTTGTCCGTGTTCCAGATGATCACACGCAGCTCGTAGCTGTGGGAAGGACACAGAGCTAAGTGAGCCACATCCTCCTGTCCTCGGTGCCCACAATGGCAGAGCAGCAGGACATGAACCTTCTCAGCACTGTGGTTGCCTGTCAGGGCTCCTCTGGCCAAGCCCAGCCCAGCAGTCTCACTGCCAGGCAGAGAGCCCTCCCTGAGCACTACAACTGTACAAGACAAACACCCACAACCAGTACAGGCAGCTTTTGCAAAGCAAACCCCTGGTGCCTGGGAAACACACTCAGCACTCCTAAACCATAGGAGCACAGAAAGGCCTGGGCAGGAAGGGACCTCTGAAATCTCTGCTCCAAGCTCCTGCTCGTGGCCTTGTGGTCTGCATGAGTTTTTAGCACCACTGAGGAAGGACATCCCAGCACATCTCTGAGTCCCTTTGTCCCTATTCCAGGGTAGTTTCACTGGGAAAATGTTTTCCCTGTATGCAGTTGGAGTGTTGGAGTTTCCCTTGCTGCAATTTGTGCCTGTTATCTCATGTCCTTTCGGGTGCACCTCTGAGGAGAATCTTGACCCTTCATCCCAAAAGCCCCATTAGATCCTTGAAAAGAGCAGAGTTCCTCCTTCAGCTTCACTTCTCCAGGTTCCCAGAGGACATCTGTCCACCAGCCAGAAGAGACTCAGTGGGTAGCTCCGACCTGGGTTTTTATGCCGTTCATGTCCAGCTGCAGAGACATCAACCTGCCCTTCCCAAACCCTTGAGCAGCTCCAAGTGCTGCACGTGGCTCATGCTGATGCGCTCAAGGGCCCATCCCGTGGGCAGAGCTGCAGCAGAGAGGAGGGTTGCGTGCCGTGCCAGCACAGCCCCTCAGCCTCTGCAGGGCCCCGTGGCACCTCCCACCAGCCCTGGCAAGGGACAGTGACCCTCCGTGCAGCCCCAGCCCCACCCTCACAGCACCACCTGACAGGCAGCCGTGGCTTGATGTTGACGGGCGGCGGTGCAGGCACGTCAGTGGGAAACATGTCAATCCACATGTGCAAGGAGCCCTGATGAGAGGAGACACCAGAGAGACTTCAGAAGACATGACCACCCTCCAGCT